ACAGTTCCTCCCCACTTGGAGGGTGGCTCTGCCTCCAGAAGAAAGGAGGGAAGGGACAGAGAGGGGAGCTGCTCGGGTCGGCCCTGCCCTCCCCTTTTCCTACCCTCCCATTCCCACATGAAACCAGATTTAATGCAAACAAGCTGGCCTGGCTCAGAGCTGCCCACAAGGCTGAGAGAGGAGAAGAGAGGAGAGCCGCTCGGAGGCACCGGAGAAACTTCCCGAGAGCAGCCGGCCCGCGTCTTCCCTCCTCCCTTTCCCCGGGTGAGTCAATGCCAGGCGTCTCCCTTCTCCTGCTTGGGGTCCAGCTGGCCCGGCTCAGCTCCTGGCGGGTCGGGGGGGCTTGCGACGGACACGTCTCTCCGCTGTTCTCTCCGGCAACGGGATTCCCAGCGGGATCCTTCCACCCACCCCGTGGCACTTTTTAAGCCTGCAGCCTCCTCCCCTGCGGAAGGGGGGCGCGAGGCCGCCTCTGCTCCGGTTTTGATTCCAGGAGTGAGGAAATGGCCCGGCTGGGCGAGCGCCAGAGTCAGGAGGGACGTCCAGCAGAAATGTGTCCCTTGGTCCTTGAGCGTTGCCATTATTAAGGGGTGAGGAGACCAGGCACTCTGTGTATGCTCAGGGCTGCCGCTGCTGCTGCCCTATGAATCTCAGGGGCGAAAAGAGGCTCCCAGAGGATCGATCTGGAGACAAAGCTGCTTCTGCCTCTAAGCAAAGGGGCAAAGCTTTTGCGCAGCCGCGGAGCCAGTGGGGTGTGTGTGTGTGTGTGTGTGTAGAAATCCAGCCAGGCTTGGCTTCGGTGCCCGCAGCGTTCCGCTGGGTTGGGAGCATCCCCAGTTCTCTTCCTGAAAGGGAGCAGCCACCGCGGACCGAGTCTCTCTCGGCTTCTCGCGTGCCCCGTCCTTGAAAGTTGCAAGATGGGCCCACATCTGCCTCCCCAAAGCTACAAAGCTTGGGTTGGAGGGGAGGTATGGGGGGGCAGGGCAGTTCCAACCCCTCTTCTGCTTATCCTGGGTAGCTTTCCTCTCTCTCCATCCCCCCCCCCAATAATCTTCAGTCTTCAGTGCTGGGGTCCTGCTGGATTTCTTTTCTTTTGCACGTGTGCAAAGTGCACCCTCTGGACTCACCGCCAGGCCCTGCGACTCCTCCTCCTTTGCATGGGGAGCCCGGGGGCCTGAAACCGGGAGACCCCTCCCTGCCTCCCTCCCTGCAGATAACCGTCCTCTGTTGTTAGCGCTCAGGGTCGCTCTCCTGTTGATTGCGTTCTTCTTACGGGCTCTAAAATAATGGCAAGAGGTAAATTACACCGAGGGATTTGCCTGTCTTTTGAAGAAGCACGTTCATAAATTTTATCTGTATGCATGCATGCATGCATGCATGTATGTATGTATGCATGTATGTATAATCTCCTCTGTGTTATTGGTTGGACTCACTGATTGCAAGCACAGATTGGGTGGACTTGTGTGCCGGGGGGGGGGGGGTGGGGGGGGGGTGCTGGGAAGGCCCCCCAAAAAAAATAGAAAAGTAAACAC